CCCCAAAACCCCAAAACCCCAAAACCCCAAAATCCAAGAATTTAAGGATGAAAATGGTTTATGAAATCAAGATTAGATATTGGTTATTATTCATGATAGGAATTGGCTTTCCTTTTGATCTTTAAGCAAATGCAAGTTTTGGTTTTGAGAATGGTGCTATTAAGCAATAACATAGGTGATATTAAAAAGTCTTATCCTTTGCTATGATAAAACAATTTTAGTATCTGAAATATCCTTTGGTATCTTTGGCTATCTGTCTTTATCACCTGGCGCCGTGGTGTTCCAATCTGTTTTTGTTTTAACCATATCTTTGAGGAGTTAATTTCCAGAAAGAGCTAATTCCTTGACATCTAGATAATTAAGCTTTATTGGATTTTTGTTTGATGCATTAAATAGTCTAACAGCAAAATCTAAAATATCGAATGTGATTGAAGTATCATCAATTGAAAGGCTTCTATAATCTGTGTCAAATTTATCCCCAATGTTTTCAACTCTCAATAAAATTTGATTCCTTTGAAGTGGGAAAGGAATTACTTTCAATGTTTAAGGCAAGTTAAGGTCTAGTTAATACAAGATTTTATCTATGCCTGATTATTTGCTCTATTTCGAAGATTTGGGGAAATCAACTTTATTTGTAAAGAATAGTTCTAGTGGCTCATCAATTACGATCTATTCAGTTCTTTAATATGAGAAATCATTAGCTCTCTCAAGGAATTAGAGTCTATAAGTAGCGGGTACTATTATACCCTTTCCATTTGAATCAGTTTCATTAAGATGCTCAGAAAGTCCTCTATCGTCATCGTGATAAAGTCTTCTGTTTTGCATAAGTTCTATTCTTCCCTTTTGCAATACTGACCCTCCTTGAGATCTATCATTCATTACTGTCATTTGAAGTTTCTATTTTTCATCAACTATTGAGATAGCACTATTGATTGGATAGTAATTAGAAGAGACTTTCATTGCTGCAGTAATGTTCCAAGTAGGTCTATAATTCAAAATTCTCTTTTGCATTTCTAGTCCATTAGAATCTGTATAAAAGGTATTTTGATTGTCAATGTCCATTGATTTGAAATTTACTGTAACTTCTAGACCCTGGCTGTCTTTATCAGGCAACCCATACAGCACAACATCCCATTCTGATACAGGAGACACATCGTAGTATCTTACTCTAACTAATACTTGTCTTGATTAATCTTGATTCTAGAAGATCATTTAAATCTCACTAGTGAACTTTCCAGTGAATGATTTGATATCTGTCATTGGGCAATATGTGACTGAATCTTAATTACTTCTGTCAGGCTTAAAAATGTAAGCTCCACTAGCACTATTTTTCTTGTCGCCTGGATCTGAGTTGTAAACTCTCATGTCAAACCCGATTTTGTACTACTTTCCACTCTAAATCTTTAATAGGTCAAAAAGAGCTCCATTATCTGGATCATACTTTTCAAATACTAATAATTCTTAATATCCACTTATTTTATGAGTATTTCCAGAGTCAGCTTTTACATTCAAGTCAATTTGAGAATCAAACACAAGTTATAGAATGTTAAATGATAGAGAGGGGGTCCTGATACTCACATGAAGCTCACAATCCTACACGTAATCACCTTAGTCAGCTAATCTTCCAGCACAGATAACCTCAGCTTGGCTGGAGCTAATATCGATGAATTTATTTTACTCAAAGCTCCAATAGAACACTCTATAGGTACTGTATTGGACCTTAAGTTTAACAAATGATTAATCTATTGTTGCTGGATTATATACTGCAACAATATGCTTTTGATTTCCATATTTAAAAATAGGACAATCCAGATAGGTGCCATTAGTTCTGTTACACCAAGACCATTCAGAGCTTTTAATGTTAGTTAGTGATTCAATCTATTCTTATAGAATCTATGTTTAAATCTAATTCCCTAGTTAGGTTGCTTTATAAATTCTTTATTTGTAATCGTCAGCAACATGTTATCTTGCAGTTCCAGTAACAGCATCATGATGCTAATTGATGCCCAATTAGTCTAGCATATACTGTTTGGCATTAAGAATCTGATTAACTGTATCGTTAGATACTGATTGATCAAGTACTTTCATTGTTGTGAGCTTAGTAAAAGCATGGAAGTTGCCAGAGAAATCTTTGATCTATTTCTTTGAATTAGGTCTTGAGGTGAAATATCCTGTCCAGTAGTCATCCTCATTGCCAGCATATGGAAACATATCATCATACTTGACTGGGAAGATCAAGTTATCTGATTTCTTAGCATCAAGATAGGAACCTGGAGTAGAGTAAACTAATTAAATATTCTGAACTTTGGCATTGAAGTATTTTATCAGCCTATCTGTGTTTCTAAAATATAATTTTGCATTAGAGTAAGCAAAATCGCAACCTAATGGAAGCATGATATGATTTCCTTAGTAATGCTAGATTGCATCATTAACATAGTTAACCATATCTTAAACAATTTGATCGGCGTTGAATGTTTCAAGAGATGGATCAATTACAATAGCCTCACCAGCATGAGATCTTTCATCAATTTCTAAGAAATCAGGAGCACAGTACATATCCTACATAGCATGAGTGAAGATTTGAGTGCTTAGTCCAAGATGGTCGAACATAGGTCTCCAAATGAATTCCATCGATTTTTCCTTCATTCTTACTTCTTGATCCTAGTAATCAAGTCTACCAAAGAACCAAGCATCAAAGCCCATCTCAGCAAACAGTCTCGGATTTGCATTTGAATGCCCAAAAGGATCTACATGCCAACCGATTCTCGGCTTAACTCCTATTTCATTTAGCAGAAATTCATGCCCTTTCATCATATTATTCATCATATCCTCATAATTTATGCAGGCTTCGTCATGCATACTCCAGCCAGCGTTAACGATCTCTAGTCTACCTTATTAAACTAGCATTCTGACTTTATTCTTAATATCATCAGTCTGATTCTTCCACCACATTGAGAAGAATTTCATCTCAACATATGTAAATTTCTTTGTAGGATCCTAGAGCAATTCAAAGACCACTGTATCTAAAATCATTTCAACGTCAGCATACGCAACATTTACTTAAGTACCAGAGTAATACTCGTCTACTGTTTTTAACCAACCAACATCATCGTGAGTGTGAGCCAACAAGTGCACATATATTGTCTGATCCGAGTTCTTCCCTATGTTTTTAAATTCACTGCCTATATGCTCATGCTTTTTGAATTCTTTTGCATCTTTGTAATAGCCACATTAAATCATTTATGTAGCAAGGGAGACAAGACCTACTATCTTGAGGTAATTATCAATTCTCATTATAATTGATTTGGATATTATATTATAATTATGCTTTGAAATATCCATAATCCATTAGAAAATACTACAAGGGGTTTTGGGGTTTTGGGGTTTTGGGG